GTTTCGGGGTTGCGTCTTGAATGGGCGATGATTCCGGTGTGGGTTTCTGAGCTGGGATCGAACCCGTGCCGAAATCGTACATGGCTGGGATTTTCTTCTGCTGCGGAACCATCTGGCGCATCGTCACTGGCTCGGGATTATTCGCTTGAGTCCCATCCAGCAACTGTGAATTACAAATTAGAAGACATTAATGTAACGGGAAAGCCTTTCATGCCACGGGAATTAAGACCAAACTGCTCGGCAAGGAATGGAACACATTGACACCGGTTTTATACAGGGTGTACCAGAATATAAAATTGGCCAGTCAATAAAAATAACATGAAACATCTCACTCCTGGGCAGTTTAAGGAACCAATTAGATTGAAGAGCGCAGAAAATCAATTCTCAAACGATGCTTAATCTCATGGGCTTGTTCGTATTTCTGGTTTGAAACTTGAAATTACAGTAATAACCCACACGATAAATTGATACCGATTTAATATAGGGTGCCCCGGAATACAATCGGCCAGTCCATAGAAATAACATGAGACATCTCCTGGACCGTTAAATGAACAAATTCGGTTGACGAGCTTTAAATACTTTTTCAAACGATGCCTAATCTCAACGGCTCGTTCGTATTTCTGGCGTGAAACTTGAAAATAATAAAACAAATGAGAAATTGACACTGATTTAATACAGGATGTACCAGAATATATATTGCCAGAATATAAAAATAAAATGAGACATCCCCTGGACAGTTTAAGGAATTAAGTTGGTTAAAGAGCATAAATGATTTTTCAAACGATGCATAATCTCATGGGCTTGTTCGTATTTCTGGTTTGAAACTTGGAAATAATAAACCTCATGAGAAATTGTCCAAGGACTCCCTCAAGAAGTTGATAGTGTTTATGTAACTGTAATGATCGTCCTTGCTTTCGAATGAGTTTTAAGCAGTTAGACGGACAAAATAAAAAGAAAATACTGTACCTGTATTTTCAAATTATTTTTGCAATTCTTTTGCCAAAATTATTGTGAGGAAAATAAATGGAAACCTTTGACGGCAGAATGCAGGTTTTCTATCCTAGTTCCAAGCACTCCAAGTGGAAAAACCAGCAACTGTTTTTTTTTTTCATGCTGCCACTGATCAAATTGTTTCTAATAGTATTTTAATTTTTGAAACTGTGCTTCATGAATTTGTTAGAATTTTTACACAACCTTCTGAAATAAGGTCTTTAGAATGCCTGATTGGGTTTATTTTTTATTTTTTTTTTCTTGTGGGTTAGACGCACCTGTATCCCGGGTTCCGGTTCATCCGATTCCGTGGTCGATGAAAACACGTTGTACCTGAAGTATCCATTTGAGTAGCTGGGATTTTTCTTGGACCCGTAGCCCGTGTCTCTGGAATTCGTCGACGAAANCGGCAGGAGTTTCTTCCTTGTTGAGAAAATGCTGCCTCCTACGCATGCTTAAGAGAGCAACGAAAGCTTGTGTAAAACCTCTGGGCCTCTCAAAACTTACACGTTTGACAGCTCAAAAATGACATCTAACATTTACAGAGTGGTTTCAAGCAGGCCCTCCAAAAGTGGAAACCCGCGAGAATTATTGAAATACTTCACTATTCTCCGTTGTCAGTGGTCAAAACAAGAAAATGGTAGGTTTGCTTCACAGAAAACGGAGAGAGAATTCGAAACGATTGCTTTATAATTGGCAAAACTTCAATAGCTTTTAAAAAGCACTGAACTAGAAACAATGTAGAAGGGTTCCTAATAAGTAAAGACAAATTTTGAAGAAACAGCGGCCTCTCAAAAAGTATTCAAAGGTTTCACACAGGTACGATGATACGTAATATCGCGTGAAAATCATCAAATTTCCTTTCGACTGTCAATTTTTATAGTTATAATGGCATGACTGTATTGGTATCGCTTTTTCTTTTTTTTAACAGCTGAGAAAATTTATTTCTAGTTTTTGAATTTTTAAAATACCGACTAGTTTTCTATTTCGGCTGTCCTAGTTGGACACTCGTGTCTGTATAATTAGCACGCCGTCAATATTGTTTAAATGTATTTTAGTTCATAAGGAGATATCTGAAGGGTTTTGGAAAGAATCAGACATTTTTCTGCAATTTTTTCGAGACTGGCTAAAGATTTCCCGCGAACAATTTTGAAAATGGATCTGTGGTTCTGTGCGATAAACTTTCTTCGCCAAATTCAGCTATTTCTGCTCGCTGAAAAATAAATCCACCTTGTTTCTGCCAACGCTGTTGGAGAAACACCTGGAACAAGAATCTCCATTCCATTTTTCATTATTATAGTAATATATGTATTGTAGCCGTCAGGGTCGATTTCTTTCGTTATTTGTTTGACAACCAGTACCTTCCCAACGATTATAGCGAGCGTAATATGGACTTGATTTATTGTGGAGACTGCCTCAAACGTTCCATTGATTAATCGCGAAAGTGATCACAGACCATTTTCACCAACACATCGTCCATCAATTGAATTATTCTCAAAATGAGCGAAAATGAAAAAACAGGGTCCTAATTAGATTTCAATCTTTTACCATACCTCTTCGACCTTATTTGTTGCAGCTCTGATAAACCCAGAATACAGTGTTTAGATGAGCCGTATTTTATTGAAGTGAAGAAAAATGCTTGATTTTTTCTTGAAATACCTTGCTGCTGCATTCGAATATTTTACTTATGCTAAAAAATCGGGATGATTCAACACAGTGTTACCCATGGTTTGTGAACCGGCGCCAGTTTGCATACAATTTTTTTCCAGTCTGCTGGAAATTTTCTTCAGCATAATAAATGTATCAAAAATAGCAATCAAGTCTGTTATTTTCAACTGAAATTTGGCAAGATGATGGCAGTTGGATTAATCTGATGAAAAAAAGAATTAAGCTTTTCTTGTGATGATGCTTTAGACAAATTTGTGCTTGCTGAAATGCATCATTTCAATTTTTCATTTTGAGAAACCCGCCTTAAAGTCCACCTTTCGAATTTTTTGAAGAAATTTCACAGCTACAGGTGAAACATTAAAATTCAATTTCATCCATTGCTGGACAAATAGGGTCAAATTCCAAGACACTTTATAAAATTGAGAAATATCAGCACAAAAAGGAAGAAATAGTGACCAAAGCAGGTCTAATCCTGGAGCAGAGGTCAAATAGCACATCCACCTCCCTACAAATTCAAACATCAAATTATGGGATGGTCAAATTGCCGGAGGTTGAATTGTAAGGTACCACCTGAATATAGCTGCTTCATTGGTTCTCAACTTACTTTTTTCAAAAAAACCAGACAAATTTTCCAAACAAAACTTTTTTGAGTCTGCACACATTTTATGAAACTTTGCTGGTCCGCAGACATTTTTTGGAAATTTTCTGGTCTTCAAATTTTTTTTTAGAAATGTTCCAGTCGGCAGGCTCAGATAGGTTGGAGAACACTGATTTAACTGACCCAACAGGATTCCTCTCTTTACTAACGCATATAGGTCGCATCATGTTCATAAGTTTCCATTCTTCGCAAGGCCTATACACACACTTATTTCTCCTGAAGAGGGATGTCCAAAAATCAGGGTGCGGCCTATTAATTACTGTTGAGTAAATACAGTACAGTATATGTGGTGTTCCTACCCACTGCCGACAGAGCTCATTAGTACCAGCAATCAATCAAATACTACAGGATTTTCTCGGGAAAGCCAAGTGTCTAATACGCTCGTTTACGCGGGTTTCCGCCCATGAACCTTGCCTCATAAATGTGATTGATCGTTTCTCGCGCAGGCCAATGAGTCACTCGAGAAGAATAAATTT